GCGGATACACGTCCACAAGAGCTTTGCCAATTGAAATGTTCCTATCAGAGACAAAAGCTAAACTGTGATCATCAGCAACGACAACTTTAAGCTGTCTCATAAACCAGTCCCATGAGCGGTGATTCTCGGAGTCGACAACTCCAAATGCAATAGGATATAGATTTGAGTTTCCATCCAAAGCAGTAGCAGCCAATAATACTCCTTTGTATTTGCTATTCAAAAAAGTTTCATCCAAAACAATAACTTTCCGAATGGCAGCATGAAAACCACGAATTGACTGACCAAATGAGATGAAGAGGAATTTAAATCTCCCATTGGTATCGGTTTCATAAGCCGTGTGTGTTCCTGGATTAGCTTCCTTCATCATGTGCAAGTATTTGGGAATTTTAGCGTAACCTTGCTCAGGAATACCTCTCACTATGTCTATTGCGTACTCACAGGCATCCCATGGTAAAGAATATGATATCTCAACTCCATGTTCATCACGCATATAGCTGATGATGTCATTAGGTTTCGGACCTTCCTTACTGCTTTCATACTTGTGCATTACGAGGGAACCAACAGTTTTTGCTGAAGCTGTGCGGACAGAATTGCTCCTTGATGATGGCGCACATGTATGATAAGGTACATACTTTCTGATAATAAAATATGAAGACCCTGTTAATCCTTCTGCACGAACACGCCATGTGCAATCATCATCTGCACAACGAATATACCAAACTTTTGTATCTGATTTGACAAGCTTATAGTCGAAATTGTGTTTCATTGCGCAGATTTCTAGTGTCGCCTTCAAAGCCANATGAAGACCCTGTTAATCCTTCTGCACGAACACGCCATGTGCAATCATCATCTGCACAACGAATATACCAAACTTTTGTATCTGATTTGACAAGCTTATAGTCGAAATTGTGTTTCATTGCGCAGATTTCTAGTGTCGCCTTCAAAGCCAATTTGCTTGTAAAATGCTGACCCTTCTTCACAACACCAACCAAAGAAAATCGGACAGGCTTTCCATTGATCATGTCTTAGTCATCCTTTTCCTCTAGGTTATCATCTTCTTCTTCAACCATGGTTTGATCATCAATAACGTGCACCACACGCTCTTCCTCTCTCTTAGGCGACTCAGTAGTCCATTCTTCATTCAAGTCAAATTCGACGTTGATATTCCTTTTATCCACCTTAGATCGAACACACACACATAACCGCGTAGAAGCTCTGATCTTCAGATATGTTAGAAAGTTTTTGAGTTGCCTATCATTGGTGATGAAACTTGTGGCGGGTTGATGCTATTCATCAAATCTGAAGGTAAGTAACTCAACTCGATATTGACCATGTCTAGATCAATTCCAAAGTCTTCACACACGATCAACTTCAGGTGTTCAAAAGATGAACTTGTGTCCACAGTTTGTAACCTACCTCCTTTTCCTTCATCAACAACAAATCGCCATCCATTGCTTACAGACGAATTCCACGAACCACATGAAGTATACATGTGCATCTTCATTGTTAGATAGCGTGGAAGTGGAAGAACTAGAAGATTAGAAGAGGTTTTTTCACGGTGAGAAGAAGAAGAAGACCCACGTTCAAGGAAAACTATATTAAAAAAGGAAATAAAAATATTTAGAGAATATTTACTTTCAGATTTTGCTAGATTTTCGGATGTTGGCTCATAAACCGTTGGTAGAAGATACATTCTACCAAATTTTCCATTAGTTTAACCAGTGGAAACGTAATCCCACGAGTGTAGACAAAACATTAAAACTAAGAAGATATGTTCTGCCAAGGTAGACGGATGGGTCTTTAGTATATGCTATGTTCTACTGAAACTGCATAACAAAAAAGGAATATCAGTTATCATATTCTTCATTCGTAGATGTATATGTTTTTGGTGTATTACGCATTCTAAGCCCTTTAGATGGATGAGTTGTTGGTAGATTGTACATTCTGAACCGCCGTAGATGGTAGATCTGATTTACTACCCGATTTATTTAATTTTTGAGATTACTATTCCAAACATTTTTTGAATGTAAAAATATTTTTCATATATTCACATGCTATTCTATTTCATATTGTATATTTTTCCTCAATTTTTTACCTTGTAAATTTTTTACTATGAATTTTTATATACTAAAGGGTAATGAAGGTCTAAAAATGCCAAAATTTGATTTTATTCTAAGGGGACAATAGTGCTGTTTTTGGGTACCCTTTTGGCAAATTTCCCAAATAAAAAAGCAGAGTCAAAGGTTGGTGAGAGAGAGAGAGACTGAATCAATCAAGAATTTAGGAGAGGGAGACGTGTTTCTGCTTCATCTTTTAGGGAAAAAAAAAACAAAGTATGAATTGTCTCTGTTCTCCTCTGCCCTCTGCTTTAATGCTTTCGCTTTCTCTCACTTTCTGGTCCTAACAAAGATTCCTTTCCTTGTTTCTTGGCAAAGATAAGGATCTTTAAACTCTGTGATTTCTCAATCTCGTTGCTGTAATCTCTGAGAGGATTCTTTTGCACAGAGAAGCCAAGAATACATCGCCTGAGAGAGTTATATCTATATATGATTTGACATTGACATGGGTTCAATCAACAAAGACACAGTTCACTACTGTTGTGTCTCAAGAGGCAATCAGATTCTGTTCGGTTACAACAACGGAGGAGACCACCACCATAACGAAAGTCTCGCTGCGTTATGTCTGGAAAAGACTCCGCCTTTCCACAAGTGGTACTTCGAAACCATAAGTAAGAGGACTTTCGGGTTCTTGATTGAAGATGGGCTCGTGTATTTCGCCATTGCTGATGAGGTTTTCAAGAGATCTAGCCTTCTTGGGTTTCTTGAGAATCTAAGGGATGAGTTAAAGAAAGCTGATCAGAAGAATTCAAGAGGAAGTTTCTCTGGTTTTAGCAATGTTCAAGACCAGCTTGTTCGAAGACTCATAGCTTCGTTAGAGCGTGTTGCTGCTGAGACTAATCTTCTCACTTGTCTTCCATTATCATCACCTTCCATTGATGGTGCTGAACCACCAAGCCACGTAGCTAATTCCACCAAAGCCCCGCTTCTTGGAAGATCCAACGAGCAAGAGATGAAGAAGAAAGGGAAAGATCACGTCAACACATTGAGAGGCGTTGTTGAGTTAGAGGAAAAAACGAAATCTAATGATAGAGGTAACGTTACTGAATGCTCGAATGCCTCATCTGCAGCAGCCACAGCAACATATGTTCCGAGTAGGGGGCGATCTAGTGGCTCCCAGAGCATTGAAAAGAAGTGGCGGCGTCAAGTGAAGATTGTTCTTGCCATTGATGCAGCTATTTGTTTGACTCTACTTGGTGTTTGGTTGGCCATTTGTCAGGGCATTGACTGTACACGTTCTTGATTAACAAGCCCTCTTCTCCTCTTCCAGATTCAAGATGACTTGATTGATTGATCTATTCTTCTTTCTCATATGTTTTTCCTCTTCTGCGATTCTGTTTTAGAGTCTGCAGTTTGACATACTTTGTACCATTGTTGATTGTATATGTAGGTAAGAGGCTCAAGTTTCCACCTTGGTTTGTGTATGTATGATTTGATGATTGTGTTCATATGATTTAGTGATTCGTGAAACAAGTTATAACTAGGATAAGACCTGCTCAAGGCGCAGGGTGAATATATGTAATTAAAATATTAAATTTTAACATTCACAAATTTAAAATTTACATATGATTGTTTTTGTATGTATTTGAAATTTTAGAATTTTGGAATTTTTATATAATTATCTATACGTATGATCAAAAACAACTTTAATTAGAAATGTAAATCAAATCTTAGAATTTAATGGATCTGATTTCATATATCTTTTTACTTTTCAGTGTTCGAGTGATGGAAAATAAATGGANATTTAATGGATCTGATTTCATATATCTTTTTACTTTTCAGTGTTCGAGTGATGGAAAATAAATGGAGTGTCACTGGGCTTGATTGGTAGAGTATAGCAAGTTCCCTAATGTTTTTAAAGAAGCAATTGGTAAAATATTTGCAATTAAAATATATAAAGTTTCTAAACTAATTTAATATAATTTATTTATTTGTCTAATATATTAGAAAATTATATTTTTTAAAAATTATATTTTTTAAAAATAATTTTCTAAAAAATTATGTTAAATTTAAAATTATTTTTAAAAGCAATATTTTAAGTTTTTCGAATACAAATAAACAATTTAAAATTAATAATTGTCATGATTTAACATAGCCATAATGATTTAAAAAATTAAAAAAAAAATAAAAGTTAACAAATTAAAAATTAACTCAGTTTTATATCATGATTTAACAATTTACAAATTAATTATGGTTATGAGAATTTTACGTTCACGTGTCAATCCTATTTATCTTCCAGTTATGAGAAGTTTACGTTCACGTGTCAATCCTATTTATCTTCCATTTTTCTCTTGCTATGTTTTTTTTTATATTTTGGTTATTACTCGGTATAAATATATATTTTGAATTTTATTCTCATTTCGTTTGTTTGTTTTGACCTGAAATTTAGAAAATATTTAAGTTTTAAAATAATTAAACAGATAAATACTTAGGTTAAGATCTGCACTTTATGCACAATAAGTATTTTATATTTATTATTTATTTTATATTTTTCTGCATATTATAAATAATAAAATAATAAATATATATATATTAAATAGCTAAGAAATCAATTACTATTATGTAACAAATTGGCATATGCATATAAATTTAACTATTACTCTTGTTTATTCACAATTAGGGTAAATAAATCAAAATAATCAATCTTATATATTGTATATGATATATAATTAAATTTAAATGATATAAACATAGTAATATAGCACACTTTTAATATGGATATTTATTAAATGAGGTTTCTACTCATATGATTTTATGATTATTTGCATATTTGTGNTATTTGAATTTAAGTATTTTCCATTTTACATATACACTTCCATAAATTAAAAGGAATGAAGTTATTATAGTTAATATATGCAAATCGTTATCAAATCGTATATTTTCCTTTTCTTCCATTACATGCGTGCGATATATATAAATATATAAACTATGTTACATGCGTTATATGCGTCTCTAATTATTTTTCCCTAGCAAATCTATACTATTAAAGCTGAAGTACAAAATTAAGTGTTTGGAAACATGAATAAGAAGATTTTAAAAATTTGATTGAAAACATGGATAGCATACAAATGGGCTTATTTATTAAACTAAAGATTATTGCGGTCCAAAGTACCATTATTATTGTTTTGGGTTTTCTATCATTGATATTAATTTATTTCTGAAAATTATTTATTCATATATGTACTCGTGTTTTAAATTTATTTAGAATAAATCAAAAATAATATATATATTATTTAAAATTTATATATGACTATTGTTATAAGTTTTTAACAGTGATATATTAGTCTTCCAATTCTTCATTAAAAATTAACTTAAAAATTTGACTAAATTGTTTAGTATATATAACTTTGCACCAAATTTAACCAAAAAAACTATTACTAAAATGTTTACGGGTCACAACATTTCACTGACGCCCCTATTACACAATACAGTGATGAAATATAATGTTTAAACAATATACTATTACTTAGTAAAATTGGAACCATGAAATTACAATTTTTGAAATGTTTATGTATACCATAAAAACAAAGACCCGCCCAGTCGGGCGGGTTATGATCTAGTTTCAATTGAACCTAAAGCCGCCACGTCAGTTTAATTGATATGCTAATTGATTGACAACTAAGCAAGATTACTTTTTAATTAATACAAACTTGAGGTTACATCTTTTCAAATGTTTCTCAATTAATATATAGGGGATAGCAAATGTGTGATTGACCCGCATCTCTTCTTTGTTCTGGCTCTACATTTGTTAATATGCATGGACAAATCTGTGATTTTGTTCATAGTAAGTTATGAGTTTAGTGACTTATTTCATAACTGTGTTCCCTATTCTGTGATGTTCCCAATTTCTCTTCTTAAAATTCAGACTATCTATTTGGTCTGATGACATGGAAGCAATGTGATGTTAGCCCGGAAACAGATAGGTAGCGCTGCAATTTTCCATGTTTGTGAAAAGACGCATTTTGAAGACCTAAAACCTAAAAACCTAAAAACTCGAGATTATTCTGTATTTTTTTATCTATTCTTGTTCTTGACGGCTAGAGAGAGTCCAAGGGTGATTTGTAACACTTGGATCATTTGTAGACTCTTGGCAAGATATTCTTCTTTTTGTACCCATTTGGAGAAGATCTTCTAAACCTTTTCTCATTTTCAATACAATCATATTATGTTTTCTATGGAATCATTTTGTTGTTGTTCACTGAACATGAGTGAGTAATCTCTTAGTTGGGTTAAGGGGTATTAGGGGATTTCTCGATATATTGATCTAGAAAATTGATAGGGATTTATGTTTTGGATCTTTGTTGACTGATTTTCTTAAGGTGAGACTTGTCTAATCACCTAACTTCTAATTTAAGGAATTTAATAGCACCAAAAATGTTGTTGAATTGTCGAAATACAGTAGATGAGCAAGGTTTCTGTAATTAACAGAAGTTGATGTTACTACACCTGGTGAGCTGATCAAACCTGAACTTAAAGATTGTTTAAAATCTGAGATACAGTGGAAGCTAATATTTAGGATCTTGAGCATAGGATGTTATCGCTACGAAAGTAGGTTAATTCTAGTATTGTGATTTGAGTTGAGACGTTGCTTTGCTTGTTTCCCTGTCATCTTGTTGTTTGATCATTATTGATGAGATATCTCTGAGAATTCTCGCTGCCTAACATAATTGGTTACAAAATCAATTTATTGATTCTTGTTATTTATTCTCTGTTTATTGAATTAAGAAACTGAAAAACAAACAAATAATCTCTTTTACTTTACTCGCTTTAGCTAGTAACTTGTCAGGTACTCCACGTGTGGTCATCGGTTCTTGTGGATTCGATCCCGTATTACTACTGCGTACTTCACTGTGCACTTGGAGTCAGATAATCGGATAGAAACACCTATCAATTTTTGGGTTTTATGAAGGATGGACAAATTACCATCTTTATCCCTCGTTCTTCGGGAAATGGAGCACGAGTTGGATTTGGGGATCGAGGATGGTAGCTTCCAATAGGCGATAAGATCATCCCATACATGGGTCGAGACCTCGGGGGCTTTCCATCATACCCGTAAATTTCTCACTTGTTCTTCCAATCTGAGACGATGTTCCAAAGGCAGATCTTTGATTTTGCAACAAATTACGCCGTCACCCTCTCGTTGATCGCTTAGGACCAATTTCACCTTTTCTAAAACAATTAAAAACAATATAAAATAAATAATTATATATGAAGTTTTAAAATATTTACCGGAAAACCTTTAAACCACGTCGTCTTAACGTGGTCTGGAGTCATCGTTCAATTTCGATGGACTTTGATAAAATACCCCTTGGAAACACTCCGGCTGACACGGTTGTTGGTTCCAAACCTGAAAATAATACCAACTTAATTGTTAGGAAAAAGTTAATATGATGTAAACAAAAAAACCTTACCAATAAGTACCCCGTGGTCAATCGGGATCCAGAATATCTAAACCTTCTCGTCCAAGTTGGACAACAGTATATCTAGCATATGGTGCAAATGGAGGTACACACAAATCTGGATGAACTCCAGCTGCCTTGGCCTGGTCATGTGCAGCAGGTGGAGCTGCTGGGGGAGGAGGTGGAGGCATCTAAGGGGGTATTCGAGGTGTATGACGAGGAGTGCTCCAAGCAGTTATCTCAAACGCCTGAGAGTCATAAATGGCCTCAGAAGATGATGAGTCGGAAGAAGATGAAGTCCCAACACCGTCACCAAACATCTGACCATAAGTAGGTGCAGGTCCACATGGTCTTGGTTTAGGAGCCTTCTAAATTAAAAAAAAAAATATCATCAGTAAAATTACTTTGGTTACCTAAACTAATCACTTAAATTAATAACCTAAACTAATCACCTAAATTAATTACCTAATCTAACCACCTAAAGTAACTACCTAAAATAAAAAAGAGGGAGAGAGAGAGAGAACATACCTTTGCAAGGGGAGGGGGAGTTGAGAGGAATGAACGAGGAAAATCCTCGTCCAAGTCTCGCGTTTATATAGAGAAAACACATTCCTCGTCAACCCGTGTTTTTATTACAACGAAGATATCAGACCCATCTTTTTAATTTTACGACAAAGTTACCATGCCTGTGTTTTCATTAAGATGAAGTTACCAGGTCCGTCTTTTTTTTTTATGACGAAGTTACCAGGAAAGCCCACTTTACGAGAAAGTTACCATGCCTGTGTTTTCAATTACAGCGCAGTTACTAGGCCATATATGAAACCCCGAAAATCAAATCTCTAAACCCCAAAGTTACATATCTACAACATCATATCTCTTTTATACCTTCATCCTCTTTATCTAATTTTTCTTTAACCCTAAACTCCAAATAAAAATTTAAAACCCTTTCATACATATATTATATTAAATAACATTTCATATAAAAGAACAACCTTTGATACATATATTACATTTTCAAAATGGTCATTATTACATTATTCTGAATCATTTGAGTTCTCATCATCATCATGATAATGATTATTATCACTTCCATCAAACCCGTCTTCACCTTATTCATCCGTCACATCGTCAGGAATATTTTCATATTGACGGTTATCCGGGTCAATAAGAAGGATTTCATCAGTTTGTGGATCAGGAACCTCTACTTCAGTGATACTCGCTTCTTCTTGCAAAGGTGGTTCTTTCTAGCAACTATTCATCCACGAGGTGTAATCTTCATAACAACTAACCAAGTTATTTCCGAATTTCTAAGGCGAGGATATGGAATGAAGCTAACTTGCTCGGCTTTGGAAGCTAAGATGAAAGGCTCAATTTGTTGTTATTTCTTCCAGAATTGACAACCACAACACCGAATTTGTTAAACCAAACACCTCTGTTCACAACGGGTCGAACCAACCACATTTGAAGAGGACACATTTTAGCTTCAGTAACCCCACAAATTCCACTTTAATAATCTCCTACAAAATCCCGTAAAAGTTTGTTTCCTCTTTCACAAAAATTTCGTAGTTATCTGTTGCCCAACGTCTCCCATACTCGTATGCATGAAAGATAAAACCCCGTGTAAAACACATAGGTGATGTGGTGACTTTTTCTACTAAACCTTGATCCAAATCGTGAAACCATAGGGGGTAATATGGATCGTCATAATCAACCTACAAAAAGTAAATACGTTAAAATTTCATATTATATTATAGTGTTCACTACTTGCTTAATATTTGAGTGATATATATTACCTGAGCTTCTAACCACTTGACATAGTGTTGATCATTTCGTTGGGTCGATCCAAGTTGTCTTACTTGACGGATCTTAAAGGCAAAGATATCTTATACGAGGATGATAACAAGCCGATTAAACTCACTGAGAAAGATGATTGTTATGTGATTAAAGAGTACCATGTGTCTCTGATTGATAAGGTTCTAAATGCTAAGAATAAAAATGTTGAGAAATTACTTTTGACAATGCCAACTCAGTGGGGACTGCATGAAACAATTACAGCAAATGATCTGGGGTAAGAAAAGTTCTTGTTCAACTTACATCTGAGAAGAACTTATCTCTGTTTTCCTAAAAGGGTCATTCCATTATAACTATTTCATATTTGCGTAGGTGAGGTGGAAGCCAATAGTCATGATGACTACCTCTGAATCATTCTTTTTCGGGTCCAACTAGTTGGGATGCCTCTACATTTGTGGACCGATAAGAACCTGAGGAACATAGGAGGCCGAATTGTTTTTTTTTTTAATAAAATTGAGCTTACGTGCTCATAGATGTTGATTTAAGGGACCGTTGAAGTTTAAAGAGAGATTTAGTGAACTACCCATATTTGAAGCTTAAATTAGCAAAATACTATTGATTAGACATGAAGGACACTGACACAACCATTTGGCAAGAAAATGCCGAGAATGCCCTTTCTCTTTCCTCTCATTAACACGAAGCGTAAAAATATTCGTTAACATATAACACTTCTGTTAACGTCTACAATATTTGTTAACAGCCAACACATTTAGTACCGCGAAGCGTAAAAATAATTGTTAACAGTTAACACTTTTGTTAACGTCTACAATATTTGTTAACAGCGAACACATTTATTAACGCGAAGCGTAAAAATAATTGTTAACAACTAACACTTCTGTTAACGTCTACAATATTTGTTAACCGCTAACACGACGTGGAATCTAAAACCCATAAAATTGATATCATCAAAAAATTGAGGATTCAAAGCCACTTATGAAAAAATAATGAAATTTAAAATTTAATTGTATGTACTTCTCTAATAACATATTTAAAATTATATTTAAGAATCAAAGTGAACTCAAAAATATTTAACATATTTATTTTGCATGTAATTCATTTTGAAAATGATAAGAGGAGAGAAGAGCATTGATAACGAAAATGAAAAAAAAAAACTGACACACCCACATGTAAATGCATGGAGGAAGGAGAGAGAGAAAGAAGGCCAATTTGGTCAGACAAAATAAATCAGTCACATCATGGGCAAGTGACTAATATAGACCCCCATTTGGGGTGTATTGGCCAATTATCTCAAGTTTAAAAGGAAGGTTTAAAATCCCGAGGGATAGGAAGTCCCCATTGAAATTAAATATGATATGTTTTTCAAGCATTGCACTATCTGTGGGTTAATGTCTCATGAGAAGGGATATTGTCCAACTTTGGACACTAACTCAAGTGCTCCACCGGAGAGAGGTGGTCTCTTTGTGTGTGTCGAATCCTCTCAAGATCAGTCAGGTCGTCAACCTTTGCTAAATGACCACCGCGAACACGAGCGTGATTGTCGGAAAAATGGTCTTTAAGCTACGTTTGACTTGTTGCGCCTTTCTTTTCATACAAACACCAGAAAAACTGAGATGAGATCTAGAATTTCTGATGCTTCAAGAAACGGTGACTATAGGGAAGGACACTGGGAGCCGAAGTCCCATCAATTGTGTTTCAGAGGTGATAACAAAAGCTTTGTTAAACATTCTGAATGGATGATCAGAGGATATATGACGATAAGCCGTGACATAATCGTTACAGTGGCTCCTGTTTTGTTAATGGGCCATATGATCGTAGAATGAATCTCACTTGGCATGAGAAGGAAACAAACAAGAGAATCGAGATAGGAAAGTCTGATGTCATAGCAAGGAGTGCTAGCAATGCGTCTCGCGATATTGTTCTTTTTTAGAAAACATCAGAAAACAACTCATTACTGCGAGTTGGTGATTGTTGTCACCAAAGTAGAGAGGAACATAAGAGTGGAGAAGAACATCAGAGTAGGAGAATAGCTAGTGCCATTGTTTCAGCAGTTCTTCAGTCGCAAACCAAGGAGGATAATGTCACTGTTTGTAGTAAGAGCGTGGCTTGTTCTCACACATTCTCTCCTCGAGCCTCTGTGAATGCGGTAAAATATGACCAGGTCATTGATGCACTGAACGACATGGAGATACAAGAAGCTAATGAAGACAATACGATGGTTGTGATGACCGAGAGGATGATATTTTGGATGAAAAACTCATGGACTTGGAAGATAAGTCGCAAGTATCTTTGATGGCTGGATTATCAAGAGCTAAATCGGTCATCAAAGACTCAGAAAACTCGAGGAGTGGCATCAGAATGAATGCCCAATTGGGTATTCAAACTAAAAAAACTGAGCTCATTCGTCGAGGTTCTCCACGTCTACGATCAGTATGTCTTTTGTACACAAGACACAAGGAGACAAAGACAAGTTAAGGCACTCTCATCATAGTTACAAGAAAGCACGAGTGAGTTCAAACAAGGATAGTGGTTTGATGGTTTCCAAAAACCCATCCACACGCCATCTATGAAGACATTCAGTTGGGACTGTCGTGGGATTGGGAACGACCTCACAATTCGACGCCTTACGGAGATGTGGCAGAAACATCACACATGACTTGTTTGGCGAGTTTGGTGGAATTAGGCGGAACTTTAATGGCCAAAAGTCCAAAGGTGAATAGTAAAATTCTTCTCTATAAGTATATGGAGTGAGTTCTGGAAATTTTTCATTCATTCCTCCATAACTTGCTTAAGTTTTAGGAAGACTTCTTTTCTCTTTTAGATTTTTTCTTTCGATTACCCAACATGTCTTTCGGACGGAGAGTTTCTGATAATGCTCATGCATCAATCTTTGATCCGAGCGACCTTGACACTTCCGGCAGCTGTTCTCTCCCCAAGCCGGTCTTCCGACGTTTCTTTACGACTAAGGAAGAGTTCGCAGACTACTATTCAGCCGTGAGTGCCGCGGAGGTGCCGCCTCCGAATTTCTGGGTTCCGAAAAGAAAGAATCCCCAGAAGAGGGTAGTTGGCGTGAGCACGAGTACTGTTGGTTCTCTCAGATATTTGAAAATACCTGCGCGATCCCCGAGTCGGTTCAGTTTTGCATCCCTGTCGAGGGTATGAGTGCCGGGGATCCGCCTCCGGGTTATTTTACGTGCTATGAAGCCTTTCTGCTAACCTGCCATCTATGGTTTCCTATTCCTCGGGCCATTTTTGAATTCTTGGATAGGTTTGGAGTACCATTCGGCCAACTACACCCTAAAGGCTTACAGCACCNGCATCCCTGTCGAGGGTATGAGTGCCGGGGATCCGCCTCCGGGTTATTTTACGTGCTATGAAGCCTTTCTGCTAACCTGCCATCTATGGTTTCCTATTCCTCGGGCCATTTTTGAATTCTTGGATAGGTTTGGAGTACCATTCGGCCAACTACACCCTAAAGGCTTACAGCACCTTATCGGGATTCTGGTGTTGGGGTATGAACGCGGTATGTCCCTTGACGCGGATTATCTTTTGTCCATATTGACGTTCAAGGTGAGGAAGGATGGTTTTTACCTAGCCCCTCGACGGGGCATGACGGTTGTTGGCGGGCTTGCCTCGAATGATCACGACTGGATTTGCCGTTTCTTTTATGTCAAAATTGACGGCGAATCGGTGGAGGAGAGTTGTATTCCTTGATTAGGGCTGCGCGGGTGACAAACGGTATTTCATTAACGTGATACCCATATCTATGTTAACATAGGTTTTAACTTTTTACAGAAGAGAGCGCGGAAGCAAATGCCTGCGCTTCCGGTACCGATGCTTGAAGATTTTCCGAAGGTTATGAATCTTCTGCGCGGTGGCCCGCTTCATTGGAGATTTTTTTCTCCGAAAAGGATTCGTCGTGCTTCCGCCTATTATTCGTCCGGTTTTTCTTGTGATGGTCATGCCGATCTTAAGGCGGATGATGGTGCGGAGGAGAGGGAAAGATCTAGATCCCCGAAGGATAGAGAAGTTCCGGTCGACCGTGATCCGGCATCTATCGACGATTTTGACATCGAGGATCT